CACACATGATTTGTTTCAGTCATGGGACTGTCAGCACAAAAGGCCCGAGTTCAAGTGAGGATGAGCCAACGGCAATGAAGCCAATGAAAAACGAAACGCTCATCATTTTGTCGACAGCAAACAAGCATTAGATATTATGAACTGCAAACAGATCAATAAGGCCAAGGTGAGAAGCACCGCTGCTGTAAACAAACAAACAACCCAAACAGCAAAAGCACTGCCTACAAGAGGCAAAGGGGGCCAGATTCAAACCACAACAAACAACAGGGCCCCAAATATATCCTCAATGTTTCAACCTTTCTATAAGTTTATTTATATATATATTTTTTTATTATTATTATTTGTATTTGCTGCTGATTGGAGCCCATACACCATGATTTTATTTGTTATAAAACAGCTCTAAAATTTGGATTCACAAAAAAGTGAGATATTATTCTGTTTGGAATTTTTTTCAAAAGTTGATTCCTCATGAAATGACCCCTGTAAAATGCTTTGGTACTTTCACAAACAGCATCAGAGCCATAAGAAACCGTGATATGATGCGGAGGGGGAAAACACACTGTCTAATAAGGTGACAAGACGCTGTGGTTTTCGGAAAGGTCAGCGCTTTAGAAAACAAATCAGACCTTTTTTCTGACTGCATTTGGGAAAGAGCAGATAGATAACAAAACAACCACATTAAAATAAGTGTCACACCGTCCTATACAATGGAAACACCTATGTTTTGGCTATTACAAACTACATTTGTTTGCATTTTTCTTTCTGCCCCATTGTAATTTAACCTACCTTACCAATATTTGATAAATACATGTTGAAGTGCATGAAATGGAAGTTGTCTTTTTCTTTTTGTGCCGTATATCTGAGTGAAACAGTTTCTTGTATTAAAAAAAAAAATACATGTAGGAGAGGACTTGATTGGTTTCCACCAGGACTTGATCAGTGGATCACTGCATTTGCCGACTGCTGCAATTTGATGCAATAGTGATTTCATTTATGCATAGTGATATTTACGGTGACTTTAAATGCTTTTAATTTGATATAGGAAAAAGTTGGA